TTTACCTTTTAAAGTGCAATTAGTCGGAGTTTCACAATAGTAATCTGTTGCAAATCGCAGTTTATGCAACGCCATATTACCAAAGGTTACGAGCTGAAACAATTCAATTACGTATAAAGCTAATTGAAATTAAATAATTATACAGCGACTAAATGACGATTCTAATACTGTAAGCATGGTAATAGTGAAATAGAATCGATTTGATCAAATCAATTGCAGTTACAAATTCTTTTTTTTAAATTCCGTAAATCCTAATCTATGCCTGATTCAACAGCCAGAAACAGCCAGTTCTTTTTTTGTTACGCGAAATTTTAAAATCAAAACTGCAAGCGACGATATAACTGTGAATGCACCGGTATTTTTTTATCTATAACATAAAAAGAGATTTTTATTTTTAGAGATAAAAAGCTCGTTTTGACGCTAAAAATTGTAGATTGTTATACTATTTGGAATATATAAATAGTAATAATTTAAAATATAAACAACAATAAAAAATATGTAGCCTACTAGTCACAGATAAATTACCTTTCTAATGGTGAAAGAATTTTTAAAATCGGGATAGTTTTTACGTGAATCGAAAACATATCTTTCACATAATAAAGATAGAAAGATGTTTAATTTTATTGTTGGCAAAAACTTTATTTCACATCAACATAATTTTAACATATATTGCCCAATTTACCCTTATCCATTGTTCCGGCTCCAGTAAAGTGTCGCCCGGTTGCAGAAGAAGTTTAACTCTCCTCTTTAGTAAGTCGTCAGACGCCAGCGCTTTAGGACTTACTGCGCTCTTTACTTCGGCCGTTTGCTGCCTTGAAAGTATTCCAAACGCTTTGTCGCGCTCCAACTGTGAACCCAGCATACCCGCTATTGTGTAGAATTACCTTATTAATCTTATTATTAATCTTTGCGAAGTCTTAGACCTTTGTATGAGCTTAGATAATGTATGACACTAAATTACAGTATTTTAATGTCGAAATTTCGATTTTAAATTAGTAAATGTAATAAATACTGTGTTTTGTTTCCAGCTTTATAACGTGTCTATTGTTTGATGTTTTCAATTATTATGGTTATTAAATTAGCTGACTATTTCATGGAATAATATGTAATTAAATCTATCCATGCTGCACAAATATAACAGGAAAGTCTAAATTCAGATTCAAACAGTTTAAACGAATCATAAATACACTGTAGAAAGTTATTTAAAAATATATGCCTCAATATGTTTTAAAATCTAGACACTTTGTTTTTTACTCGATTAACATTAGGTGCTGTTTAATTTCTTCCTTTTAATCTTACTAATATGATTAATGCGAACGTTTGTCTGTGTGGGTATTTGTTAGAGTTTGTAGCCTAAAGTGCTGAACGGATCTCGTTGAATGTCACAAATGTAGAATCATTTGTGGACGAACTCATAGGCTATTTACTAAGTTTCTTTTATTCCTCACAGACGGAGTCGCGGCTGAATGCTTGTACAAAATAATAAAATCGAACCTTCTTAGCCAGCCCTTTCGGAGCACCGATCAGTTCATTCCAGCTGGCAGTTGCTCTCTGCTCGCAGTTATCTTCATAGTCCAGCTCGACGAGATCGACGAGAGACATCAGCCATCTCTTGTCATCGCCACTAGATGTGCCGCTCGACAACAACGCGTACAAACACACACTGAATAGTGTGAACGATGCACGCATTGTTTGAGTCTGTAACAAATGAAGAAATACAATAATTAATTAAAAAAATGTATACAATTTTATTATCAAAAAGCACATAACACTCTTTGGTTAACAGGAAAGCGCTTGGTGTAAATTAAAACGTTTTTATGGTGGTGGAAAGGTTATCATTATTCCATGTATCCTCTTGGTGTGCTACAACACGATTTTTGTTTGAAATTGATCTATTATTAGTCATTTCAGATTAGAAGTTTCTTCTATTATCTTAACGATTTACTAAATATTAGTAGTTCCTTGTTTACTAATATTATAAATGTAAAAGATTGATATAATTATATGTAACGAAAAAACTCATAAACTTCTCACCGATTTTATAACGTTCTTTGTCCAATAGTAATCTGAACTAAAACTGAGTAACATAGGATACATTTGCTACAAGTTTTGTTTGTTTTGTTGTTACATTCCTGAGGAAGTCGCAGGCAAAAGCAAGTTAAACTTTTAATATTATGTAAGGCGTTAAGTGGTAAGGTAATTTATTTTCATCTCTTAATTGTATTTATACAGAACATGAATAAATGGGACTCGAAGCCTAGTTCTGAGTTAGTTGGCTTCATCAAACACGCAATGTATGTTACGATTACAATTATAATTAACTTAATTAATAATAACATTGAGCGTCGGTGACTCAGGGGTTAAGCACTTGACTTGTAATCTACAGGTCTTGGGTTCGAATACCGACATGTACCAATGTGAGTTTAGAATTTCATATCTACATAATTTACCCGACTTCCTTACGGTGAAGGGAAACATCGTGATGCAACCTGCACATATCGACGAAGAAATTTAAGGATATGTGTGAAGTCAACCAACCAGTAGGCCAGCGTGGTTGACTATGGCCTAGTCATCTTATTAGTGTAGGCTCCGAGCCCTTTAGTGGGACGTATATTGAACTGGTGATGATTGATAACAAAGAGAGAATTTAAAACTACACGATTAATGTTGAAACTAGATATTATCCTCTAACACATTACAGGACAGTACAAATACATAAAGAACGCGGAAACAGCAATTAAACTTGTTTGCTGTCATACGCTGGATTGATATGACCTTTGTATTCCTCAATTTCTAACAACCGGTATTTACTTCAAATGAAGAACGTTTCTGGAGACACTATTACAATGAATTAGTGTTTGATCAACGAAGGCAAAAATAATGAAATTGTATGAATTACTTAACGCAATCTTACTAATATCATAAATGCGAATGTTTGGATGGATGGATGGATGTTAGAATTTTAGCCTGCTGTACGGAACTCTATGGAATTTAGCATAGATGTAGAGGATAGTCTGGAAGAAAACTGGTTATGCTACTTTTGCTACTTTTGCTTTTTTAAATTGCACTCTGACGGATTCGTGTGCAAAATTTATTTTCTTTTATAAATCACGGTCACAATGCCACTTGTATTCGATTTTATAAATGTATGGCACAAATTTGTTTAATAAAGCACTTATATTTATGATTATTTCCATGCTTGGCAAAGTATCAACAGTTTGAAGTTGTTCTTAAGTTTGTTCAACCGTAACAGAAATGTGCAATGCGCAATAATATTTCAGTTTGAGACATTAGCACAACTCGCTAGGGAAAAAAGTTTTCGTTCATGGCTAAATATTTAAAACGACAATTAAGTTAAAAGGACATATAGTTAAAACAAAACACACGAGAAAAGAGTAACACACGATTTTACACAACCCATCCCTACTAAAGTGTCAAATGAATTGTCAAACTAACCAACCTTATTTAGACAAACTGTAATATATTGTAACTGTCTTTATTCAATTAAAATGAAAATTTATTTATCTTCAATTTAATATTTACCACTCATCTTACACTGATTAAAAATCGCAACTAATTAATTAGTGTATGTTTTATTTATTTAATACGTTATCTGTTAAAAAAAATATTTATTACAATAATACATTCTAGGGCCTGTCCCACCAATTTATAAATTGTCTGATAACAATCTAACGTGTAAAATGATGGAAATATCGGATTTAGTTCCCTCATCTGCCAGTGACTTCATATTTAAGCTATCTGAGCCTCTATCAGCCAGTTGTGGAAGAGGCCTCTAGAATCGTAAAACTGGATCACGTTGTCACGCAGATTTTTAAATGTGTATAAATATCCCTGAATCTGATCCCAAGTCCATTATTTTTGAATACCGTTAATCCCGGTATATCACAGCGTGCGTTATGAATACAAACTCCGCACAGGGCTTACCTTACATAGAAATAATTACCATAACAGGTTTTCAAGTATACCTCAAATGAAATACTCAAACGAAATACCATTGATTACCTCACTATAGTTAATGATGCTAATTTGAATGCCTCAATGAAACCTTACTAATAACGTAATTGGTAATTAAAATGGGTCAAGTACATTTATAGCTGTTTAAATTATTTCATTCGATTTTGTTGTGCTTTATCCGCATGACATTATAAAAACTGTATTTGATTGTTTAAATTTCGTAAAACTTTCAATGACAGCAAAGGCGTTGGCCAAAATTGTTTATGAATAACCATGGCGACCTTGTTTTTTTGCTGCTATTGGTAGCATTGTATTTTTTGTCCCTTACCCGCATGGCGGTTTTTTCCAAATTATTAACTTCCCAAAATTAATAGCTTGAAGCGTGTCGTAAGTGTACCGGTTTTTATAAAAAAAATCTCAAATATACTGTGATTACTGACATCCTATATAATTAAGAAGTGTGTGTTTATGCTTTACTATATTATAGATACAGATTATTTAATTTTATGTAAGATTTTCTAACAAAAATCTAATAGATATAGATACAATATGAGTTTAAAAAATAAACTTAATATTTATAAATATTTAGACGACGCATCGATCAAGAATGTGTATTACACGTTATATTTTATTTGTTCAAACTTGAGAATGTTTGAGAAATTAATGTTTATCAATTTAAATAAATATTTTGGACTATAAAGTTTTGATGGAATCCAGTGATTTTTATATGGCTCTTACATATAGGGCAAAATGTGTTCTAACAAGTCTAAATATATGATATGGGTTAATGTGTTGCCCCATCTGGTTGTTTGTAACGTCATAGAATAAGTGGTCCAAATTGATATCTCTGAACCACTTACACTAAAATTATTTATCGATGTTTTTATCGTATTGGCCTAATTAATTAAAAATCGTAAATTAAATAACTGTTTTATCATTGACTATTGCTATATTTTTTCATTTTAAAATTAAGTAAGTTCGATTTAGTTGTTACAATTTAGGAAGACGACATAAAGATGTAAATAAGATAAAAATTGTACAGTTATTTGTAACTAGCTGTTGCCTCCAACTTTGTCTACGCAATATAAAGATAAAAACGCTTATAATTGCCCGTCTATGTCAGCTACTCTTCAGTGAAAGTCAGGTCGAAATCGGCCCAACCGTTTCGGCCGCGGCTTGAGGATAGACAGACAAAAAATGCTATTTTCGTTATCAGCATCGCAAATAGGTCATTTTCCGGAAATCTGGTATTTTTCTTTTGATATTACAGACATTCCAATTTTTTTATATGTATGGATGTAGATTAATTGGCACAGGATATCAATTTAAATTAAAACTTATAACAGTAACACTAACAATGATGTGTAGTTATACGGTATGATAGTGGTGTGACCTTTGACTAACAGATCAAATTCCACTCTGCGTGTTCAAGTACAACGTACTTTGTGTGTGTATTTAATGTCATTGACGCATTTACTTTGGATAAATTGTGTGTTTCGTGTGTGTTGTGATTATTAATGTTGTTCTAAAACTTAAACAAATGTCGTATTTCATACATGTCTGTTAACATTTAGATACTACGGTTACTTTCAGAGTGGGCTCTGATCAAGAAGGGAGTGATGACTGAGATGACGGATGATAGAGTGCTTTGGAGGACGAAAACCCAGTGCGCCGACCCTACGGGAGTAGGATAAGGTAGGGGAGATGATGGTTACTTTCGGAGTCCCTTAAATGTAATTTCTTATACTAAGGTACTCCGTAATCATTAAATGAGGTAGTAAACTTGAAATTAGTTAACAAATGTTCACATAATTAGACGAATAATTGTTAACCTTACAAAAATGTGCCTAATAATTATGTTTAATAATTCTCGTAGATTTGTTTTTATTATGTGGCATTCTATAGTATTCTTTACGTCACATGAATAGCAGTAATACGGATTCAAAAATATAGAAATTTTCTTGAGTGTCACTTTTAACACGTTTATACAACACTCAATTAGTAGATTTTTGTTATTTTACTAATATTTCCTTTAAACATTCCAACTAAGTAGGCTTGTGCAAGGATGTGGTTCACGACAATAATCGAAAGGTGGGATTCGAAGTAGTTAGTTTATTGCTTAAATTAAATAATAATTCGTATGTTACTACTATTTTAAATCAATATAATTTCATGTGAATATTACGCAAAACAGAATATGTTATCTTACTAATATCATAAATGCGAAAGTTAAGTAGCCTAAACTGCTGAACGGACCTCGATGAAATTTGACATAAATGTGGCAAAACACAGAGGCTACTCACTTTTGTTTGATTTATTTCCACGGACACGGAGGAGAGAGAGTTTTCTCTGTGAATTTAATACGTCCCGATTTGTATCATTTGTCTCTTAATTTTGTAACAAAAATCTAAACGTAGGCAAGTATTATTTATAGAATTTGTACACACGCCTTGAATGTATTGTTGTCTCAGTATCAAATTGGCCGTGTCATCTTCATGCTATCGTGTTCTTGTAAGCGAAGCAAATGTTGAGTGTGACGGCTCAGAACATTACAGCAAGCCATGCATACTGTCGTTTGTTAGAAAATAAACCCTATCACTTGTACAGAAAGTTTAATTTCCTATATCAGAATATCTTTCAGTCTGTCACCCATGCTGATTACAGACTTGATGGCAATTTGTAATAATTAAAGTTCGTTTCACTACATTAGGTCTTTTTGTAGT